CGTTTATCAGCAGAGCGAGATCTGGCTCCCACGGTGCAAGAGGGCGATTCTGAACTTATTTTAAGGAGGTACAAGAGATAACCCCCAACAAGACCTTTCCTCCGATTTGGTCATCGCCCGCCCCCCAAGTGAAGAGCGAGACTCAACTTGCCTAAAAGTGACAGAGGGGATCATCCTTCCCTGTGAAAGGTAGACTTACCTTCCCTCCTTTATTTTTCACTTTTACCCCGAGATATAGAAAAGAAGACCCTAAATTTACTTTATGGTAGAAGTCAGTCTTTCTCCCCTCCCCCAATCATGTCCGCAGAGGGAGCCTCGCGTCTCTTCCCCCTAAGTCTCTTGGAGTGCAGTGAGCTCCTTTCCTTTGCACAATTAAGAGCATGGCGTTTAGAGTGTTATAGTTGCAAGCCTGTGTCTCCCACTTCCCATCTTTGTGACCTTGACGAATCATTTAATCTTTCTCACTCTCAACCCATTACTCATTTGGGTACTTCTTTTCATAGAATTGTCATAGGGCTGTAAGAGAATTTGTGTAAGTGCTTAGTACATAGTAACCATTTGGTAAATTGTTGCTATTACCGTTACTTAATTTGTTTTAAAAGGAAACTAATATCTTATACAGAAAAACAGATTTTTCCATTCCTGTCTCTTCCCATCGCAAGTATTCCATCCATCCTTTCTCACAAGAAAGGAGACTTTTCCCTTGGGGTGGAGAAAGAGGCACTTCTAATCCTCTTAGACCCTACCACACTCCCCCAATTAACAAAGAGGGCCTTAATTAGAATAATCAGGAAAACGGACTTTTGTTTTTGCAAACAGGTCTGTACTCCTAGAGGTGGGGAGACTTGATACCTAAAGCTAGCCTTTTCTTTGTTCACAGAACCTATCTCTTCTTCCTCACTGGTTAGAGATGTCCTCTCCCACTCCCCCTACTTGCTGTAGTGACGAAAAAGCTTTCTAGCTACACGCCCCCCAAGAGGGAGATTACAACTTCTTTCTCTTGCTCTTCCAAGAAAAATAAGACTATACCTTAAAGAAGAGGACTCTGTCATACTGTATATTTAGAGCGGCACAGATGTTTTTTTTTTCTCTTCCTTTGAAAAAGAAATGAAAATCTTTTATGCAGAGTCTGTCAGTATAAATGAGTAGCATTTTCACTCCCCATGTGGAGACGGATTCTTTTTCTGCATGTTAGTAAAGGGAGGAAAAGGGAAACAGTTTGATGCTTTTGAGATTTCCTGTGCACTCCATGTTGAAGAGCTGAGCACTGTTTAGTATATGGGCTTCTCTTCCCCACTTTCAGTTTGTCTAGAGATCTTGTTAAAAGATTCTTCTCTCCCTGTCCCTCAAGAAGAGGCCCCTTCTCCGAAGTCCCTCATGGAGGGACTGACCACAGTGTCTGAATCTTTGGAAAAGCAAGCGCTTTTCTCAAGGTGAAAAGAGTGTTGTGAACTTCTGAGGGCTTTATCATTATTGTGAGTATTGTCCCTTGAAACAAGTAGCAGCTCCCAGAGTTATTAACTATTCTTTCCATTAAGAACAGCCCTTTTGCATTGAAATTAAAGGGAGGGGAGACCTTCACACTCAGGATTATTAGGGCACATGGTTTTCTGTTCTGCTGTTTTCTTTGTTTGGTTTTGTTCCCTATTTTTTGCTTAGTGCTATAAACTTTGTACCCCCAGAACTTTGGTTTTGGAGAATATTTGAACAACTAAAGTAAAAATTTACTTTGTCAGGTTTTTAGTATTGTAAATGTATTCTAATGAGATTGAGAGCTGCAATGTTAATCTTTCGCTGGTAATTTTTTTTTCTGTTGCTTTTATTTGGTGAGATAGGAATTAATACTGCCAAATTACCTGAAGACACATTAAAGAAAAGCTTTCCAGCTTTGTATGTAAAATGTTCTTAAATTACCTCTGTTTGCCCTTCAGTACTTGCAGTGGGGATTAGTCTGAGCTATGTACAGTTGTTGGTGTCCAAGGGTGTGTTTTGCTGAAACAAAGTGAATAGAAAAGTTTTTCTTAGAACCATATGATTTTAATGGGTGGCAAGACCTTTGAGGTTATTTTGTTTAACTTGTTAATTTTACACATTTAAAACTAGCCCAAGAAAATTAAGTGACACACTCCAGGCCATGCAGCTAGTAAGTGCAAGGCAGGATAGGGACCCCGGTCTCCCCACACGGAGACCTGCATCTAGACTGCTCCCAGCACTGCTTCTGCATTTGAAACACGAAGATCTGCAGATGATTGTTCTCTATTCAAAAGAATTTCTTTTATTGGAAGAATTGTACTGCATACTCCCTATAAACATTAGTCATCAATTCGTTAAACAATCTAATTATTTGTGTTATGATAAAGATGACAAGCCAAAGTAGCAGCTGGCAAGAATTGGTCGTGAATCTTTGGGTTATTTTTGGCTTATGCCTCAAACTAGGTAATTATCTGGTGTCCTTACCCAATAGGTTGGTTATAAGTCATCAATAAGAATTAAGCTGTAAATCCCTGTCTACATTTTATAAGCATGTGTTACTTTTTCCTCTTACATGAAGTTTATTTAACATTTTAATGTAAAAACTTTTATGGTTGAGGCAGAGAGCTGACATTTGGAAAATAAAGGGATATACAGTTAGCAGTTATTTTTTTATCTCTATGTATTTGGATCTAGGGAAATAATGTTTTAAAAAATTTCAACATATATAACATATTCTCATTGTAAAAAAAAAAAAGTGCAACATACAGATAAGTCTTTTGTGATCCCATCACCCCGCATGACACTGTTAATACCGGGCTTTTTTTCTTTCATTTTCCTATATGCATATGTATTTTACAAAAAAAAAAAAAAGTCCTGATGTTATGTAGTTTGATAAAATATCCCGGGCAGCTTTCTGTGTAGAAATATATTTCTACACTATTTAAAATTTCTCCATTGTATTCAGAGATTTAAAGGACTTGAATGGTAAATTTTCATTCCTTTTCTGCAGTCTCGTGGCATGACCAATATCTTGATAGTGAGCTGAGAATAATTTTAAACTGCTACTCTAGGCTTGCATCTAAATATTACTCCATCTCTGGGGGTTCCAGCCAAGGGACTCAGCTGTTCTTAGTGACTCAACTGTGGATACCACTGAGAAACTTGAGGACCCAGAGTTGGGCTAGGGGAAAGAGGAGGAAGTATCTGTTTTGTTTCAGCAGCCCATGTGCCTCGTTGTTCTATAGGTCGAAATTTCTTAGAATTATATCTCTACCAAATAAGAGTATCAAGAGATGATGATAGCTTTGTGATGTTTGGCTTTTGTAAATTGGAAGTTATCTCTTGGTAACCAAAGCATTTAAAATTCTGTTTCAACCAATGCCAGTTTACAGTGTATGTGGAGACATAGGAAAGAGAAAGGCACTGTTTTCCCTGAGGAATATTTTGAGCCATTTTGTGATTATCGATATTACCTCTTTTTGGTAAAGATCTGTTCAGTAAATGTATATTTTTGCATGAGTTTATAGAGAACAGATTCTTGAGTTAGGACCACAGCGATGGAAAGGAGTGGAATTTGTTAGAAACATTGCTTGAGTTGAGTCTGGGCTATGAAGTGCTAACTGAAAGGCAAATGGAAGGTCAGATAGTTATATTTGTGGATTCAAGTCAGAGTTCTAGGCTAATGAGTAAGATGCCATTACCAAGAGAGGCAACAGGAACAGAAGTAAGTGTATAAATTTACTGAGGGCATCTTATTCATTCCTGTTTCTCATAGCTTTTTGCATGTAGTAAGGCTCAATTATTCATTGGGTTGAATGTTCTGTTTTAGACATGTTAGGTTTTGTGGGGGGCTACCATCCTTATGAGTAAAACAGGTCAGGAACTTGAGAAAAGGTGAGGGTTAGGGATACGTTTCTTTCTTTTTTTTTTTTCCCCTAATTAACTTTGGTAAGATGTAATTCATATACCATACAATTCACAAGCTTAAATTGTATATAATTCAGTGGTTTTTGGCATAATCAGGAAATCACAGAATGTGCAGCCATCACTTCAATCAATTTTAGAACGTTTTTATTATCCTCCAAAAAAAAAACTCCATTAGCAGCCACTCCCTAGTTCTCCACCTCTCCTAGCACTAAGCAATCACTAATCCATTTTCTGCCTGGATTTACCTACTCTGGACATTCGTGTAAATGGGATCTTATGATATGTGGTCTTTGTGACTGGCTTCTTTTACTTACCATAATGTTTTCAAGGTTCATCCATGCTGTATCATGAATCAGTACTTCTAATTTCTTTTTAAAGTTGAGTTGATGTGGATAGACCACATTTTGTTTCTCCATCAGTTGATGGACATTTGAGTTGTTTTCACTTTTTGGTGCTTGTGAATGTGAACATTTGTACAAGTTTTTGTGTGGATACATGGGTTTTTTTACACATACACTTTGGAGTAGACATGCTGGGTCATGTGGTCACTCTGCTAAAAGGGACAGTTTTGAGTCATCCTCATAGCAGAGAAGCTGCAAGGAAAGGTGAGGTCATCGAAAAAGTGAAGCTTGCAAAGGGAGGCATGTCAAGGAGTAAACTTGAGAACACCCACACATTGGTGGCACACAGGAAGAAGCGCTCTTGAGCGTAAGCTGGTGGACAGACCACAGAGCTGATCTCCATCAGCAAACCTGCTCTTTCACAGTATTCTTCACTGCACTGTTCTGATCTATATGTGGTATGACAGCCAGAAACTGGATTGTGTTTGTTGTTGAGAAACGGAAACGGAACCAAATTAAAATTGAGCACCTTTGGGGCAAGGGCATCAAATAGCAATTCCACTTTATCTCCGTTAACCCCCACCTACCTACTCACACATGCACACAAAACAGCCTAATCCAGGGAGGTAGAGGAGAAAGGAGAAGACTAGCCTCAAAAAGAATGCATTTCTCTCAGCACTGTTTATGAGTCTCATTTGATTCTTGCCGTATTCCTATACACAACAGTTTATCTCTCTTTCCTTCTTCGAATTCAAGTTTCTTCATCAGCCTTCCTTTGTTACCTAAACTTTATGGACCAGTAGCCTGATTTCCTATAATTTCTAGTGTTTAAGTAGTGTACGTTTCCTTAAAAACAATAAGGACTCCCAGTGGATGAAAGCATCGAAACGTGAGTAAACCATTCACCACAGGTTGGAAAACCAAGAGAAAGGCAGATCAGTCCAGAGCGAGAGGACCTGTCACCTGCCCTTCCTCACCCCCAGCTTGGGTCCAGATGGCACAAGTCAAAATGGGACCTTGTGTGCAAGGAGGAACGATTGTCAGCCTAGGAGTATTCAAGGAACCGGTGCTTCTTCATTTGGAGACAGAGCATGTGCCTTTGTGTAAGCGAAGTCTGTGGGCTCCCCCAGATAATCAAAGTAGGAATCGAGGCAGGGACCAAGGAGACTGAGCATGTAGAGATCTGTATGCTCAGAAATCTGGTTGTGGTCAGACAGCTCAAGAGTCACAAAAGTTCCGTAGCCAGCACTGGATTTACTTGTATGTGATATATTTATTTGGGGAAAAGATGGATTTTACGAAGTGATAGGAAAATCAGCTGGCTTTCTGAAACATCCTTTCCTATGTGCATTTGGCCAAAGGGATTTGTCATCAATGCCCCCAATATAAATCCTTTTTATGAACTTTGAGTTGCCGAACATTTCTCATCTTTTCTCTCCTTGTTTAGGATTAGAAAAAGCACCAGGAGTGAAAGCATGTGCTGTCTTATTTGCTTAACCAATTTCCACCTTGATCAGGTCAAATGGGATTTTGTGGAAACCGCATACATTATTTATTGGTGGACTAAAATGGCAAAGTTACCAGCCAGGAATCCCTGGTTCTGGGTGTACCATTTCCTGGCTGTGTGTATGTGTGTGTGTGTGCGCGCGCACATGTATGCACTTGCATGTGTTTGACTAATAATATAGTATTATGAACTATCTAGATATAAATATTACAGCAAATAACCTGTGTTTCCATCACCCAATAGAAGAAATTAAACATTCCCATTTCAAATAAAGTTCCCTGGGTATTCCTCTCCTTACTTTCAGATAACCGTGTAATATTTTAGGTAGGTCACTTTTAACTTCTTCAGGTGTGATTTTAAGGTCTATAATGGGAAGATGATAGCTGCCCTACTTAGCTCACAGGGTTGTTGTGAGAATCAAATGAATTGGCTGTGAAGGTACTTGGAAAATATCAAGATGCTAAATAAAAAGAAAGATTCTGCTAAAGAATGTCTGTGCCAGCCTGGGTAGATAGAGCTTAAGTGTTTGGTAAGCAGTGAAGGAAAGGAATTCATTTTTCTCTATATCTCCTTTCAAAGAGAATTCTTAATGAAGAAAAGCCAATGAATCACATTCTTCAGAGTCCTTCAGTATATATTCATTCAGCAAATATTTACTGAGTGTACCCACTGTGTGTCAAGTACCTATTCCAGGCAGTCGGGAATATAGCAGTGAACAAAACGAGCAAGGTTCATGCTCTGAAAACAAGTAGAAACCTGTCTTTGTCTTCTAATTTACATCAGGTCTATCTTTGGACGCTCAGACATATTCTCATGTACATTTGTTGGCCCTCCAGGTTTAAAATGAGAATTTTCATAAGGCAGTTTATTAAGGAGAATTTTTTGGTGCCAGATAACGCTGGCATTCGAGGTAGAATTTATCATCCTTATTATAGCTGGCTTGAGCTTGGAAGAAAACCTTTCTTCTACCCTGCAAGGTTTTAAACTTTTATCCCTTCCTTTGATTTGTGTCAGGGTGAACCGTTTGATGTTAAAGACTTGACTCCATAATCTACATCTGCCCTAATGCTGTCATCCGGAGTAGAGACTCAGCCAGTTCCACTTGATTCCTCCATGTCTGCCGTGGTACAGGAATTATACTCTGAACTCCCAGTAAGTGTCTCCAAAGAGCTTCATGCTGACCCTGAGCCAAGTGTGATTCCAGATGTAAAACCTGGAGCCTCAAGCTCTCTTATAAGTCAGAGTAGGGCAGTGCCCTTGGAGCTGCAGAGGACTCATGCGGAAAGTTGTTTTGAAGAAACCTCTGAGACCTTGGATCATGGGGGTGAGCCTGGGCGGTGTGGGCTGGTGGACTTCACAGCAGGTTCTGTGGCTTCTGGGATCTTGGATAGGGAAGAGAAAACAAAGAGCATGGAGCTAAAGGTCTTCAGAGATCGAGGGGACCAGGTGGAAATTGTAAGAGACCCCTGTGAGGGAGCAAAGGAAGACCTGTGTCAACATTCCACAGCCGCTGAAGAAAAGATCAGCCCAAGTCAGGTAAGAAAAGAGATCTTGATTCAGATGAGATGACTGTGAATGACAGCTTTCCAGAGTAACTTCACATGATAAAGTACGATGCTGACAGGTAGCTTATGATTTATTGAAACATTTCCAAAATGTTGATTTGGATATTAACTTTCTTTTGATGATCTTTTAAAACATTTGCATCACATCAAACACTTGAGAGGAAGTGCATATCTAATGAAAAGGTGTCACTTCTCTGAAGTAGCTATTATATATGAACTGTTGAGTCTCTTTGTGGTAGTCATGTAGTATTTCTGCATCTGGTGTTAAGAAATGATCTGTACTTATTCCTGAAGTTTTGCTAATATCATGATTAGTAGTAGTATCACAGAGCGAGATGTCACCAAGGTATTTTTGAGGGAGGTTGTTGATTCAGGTAGGGCATCATAGAATGGATACCCTTGAGAAGTCTCCATATTTTGAAACAAGTCCTTAGCTTTGCAGGTCCAGAAACTTGACTTTTTTTTTAGTACATCAGAGGTAGTGGTCTCCAAAGAACTGACCCATGCTAAACCATTTCATGAGGGGCTAAAGTATAAATCAGAAAGCCACTTTTTAAAGTAATACACAGTTAAAAGTAGAATCATTACTTCGTAGGACGTGGGATATATCTCTGTCCATTTGAACTTAGAGTTAAGAAGAGTTAATTAGGTGAGACTAATGGTTAGTTAGCTGTGAGAGACCCCAATTCTTAAAGGAATATACCTGCCAGGTGGACTAGAAAACTTGCTTTCTCCCCTGGATGGTGCCTTAGACCAGGAGTTAACAAACTTTTTCTGTAAAGGACCATGTAGTAAATACATATTTTAGGCTTTGCGGGACATATGGTCTCTGTCAAAACTACTCAACTTTGCCATTGCACAGTTGTAAAGTGAAAGCAAGCACAGACTATGTAAACAAATGAGTGTGGCTGTATAAATAAAACTTTATTTGTAAGCACAGGTACTAGCCTGCAGACTGTAGTTTGCCAGCCCTTGCTCTACAACCACTAATAAATTCATATTCTCTGGGCATCCTGGGCTACGCTTCATTCTCCACCTGATAAATACATCATTTCTTTACATAGTTTACAGGGCAATTGATTATTAGTAGGCTGTATATATTGACCATAATTAGGAATGGATAAAACATTAAGTAACAGTTGAATGTTATAATTACATTTTATGCTTTGATGGCCTACTCTTAAAAATATAGTTAAATGAGTTAGGTAACAGATTCAGAATCTAAAAGTTTCTTTTTGATATGGTGGGCTGAGTCTAACAAGATGAAAGTTTCTTAATGTAATATTCGATATAAAAATATGCATATATAAATTATGAAGTAATGAACACAACATATCTATCTATCTATCTATATGTACACACATAACACCTAACCTAAGAACTAGAAGATTACTGTGTCTCTTTTCCTTTTTCAAAACTATCCCTTTTTTACCTTCCATCTCCACCAGAAGTAAATACTATTCTGATTTGTGTAAAGCAAAATGAAACAATATATATAAATGTAAGATTTTGTATTTGGTTTTATAAATTGAACTCCACTAGTTAAAAAAAAAAAAGAAAAGCAGTATGTATGGAGAAACAGCATACCTGCAGGTTTTAGCTGGTCAGTTAAAGGTAACTGTGGTATGGCTGCCATGAAAAGCCAGTTTGCTTTTACTATACATTAACAGAAATGTGTTGCCTGGACTGAGAGGTAGTGGTTGTGCTCTGTTGTATTCTGGTTAGCCTATATCCAGAATATCATAATCACATTCTCCTCTTCCCCGGCACTCAGCTTAGCTCAAGATGCCCCAGGCTGAGGGGATGATGTTAGAGAGGAAGCAAGGAATGTGTCAGTGTTGGGGTTCCTGGCCAAAGTGGATCCTACGCCCTCCTGCCCATGCTGAACCTGATGTCATATGTGGAAGGGGTAGAGAAAACCGGGAATGTATTCATGGATAAGAACTCACACTGAAAATACACTGTTGCAAGCCAAGTTGCTGGGCCATCCTTTGAAAAGAGAAAAATCAAGAGAAGTCTTCAAGAATTCGGAGGGCTGTCAAGCAGAAATGGTTCTGTTGGGCACAGTTAGACTCAATGGAAGACATGGCAGTAATAGCTCCTACTCATTCTCAGATTACAGGAGCCTTTGCTAATCTGGATGAATGATACAGACCACTCAGAAAAGCAGACATACCATTTCAGAAAGTTTGCAGAGTCCAGATGCCCTTGGACCTCAAGAACTCTTCTTAGTTTGGCAGAATACCACAAACATAGTCTAAAAACAACTGACAAATTGGGAGAACGTATTTGCTACATATATGACAGACAAAGGGCTTATCTCTATAAAGAACTCTTTCACTGAGGAATGAAAACCCCAATAGAAAAATGGAGGCAAGACTTGGCTGATTCACTGCGTGTATTGAAGTGAGGTTGACACATGAAGAGATGATCAACCCCACTCAAAACTAGAGAAGCAAATTTAAACAACATGTGATACCCCTTTTACCTATGAAGATGGTGAAAATGAAAAGTTATGACAACATTGCTGATGAGAATGCCTGATACAACCTTTCAGCAGAGGATTTTAGCTATGCCTAACAAAACTATATGTGCCCTGAACTGTTGACCCAGCACTCTAATTTCTAGGCATCTATCCTAAAGGTACACCTTTAAAATATAAAAATACATATCTGAAAGATTATTTATTTGAAGCATTATTTATTATTGCAGAATATTGGATACAGCCTAAAAGTCCACATATAAAAGTTGGATACGCTATGATATATGAACATCCATATATGGAGTACTATGCAGCTGTAATAAAGAATGAAGATCTCTATGTATACATGTGGAGTGATTCTCAGGTGTGTCAGGGGTCCCCAAGACCACCTCTAGGTTTGGTGATTCACTAGAACTTCCAGGACTCAGTATATGGTCATATTCACAGCTAAGATTAATTACAGCAGAAGACTATAAAGCAATCAGGAAAAGAAAGAGAGATATGGGGCAAAGTCTAGAGGAAATCAGTTACAAGCTTCCAAGAGTTCTCTCCCAGTGAAGTCACACACATTTAACTTCCTTTGGGTGCAAATTGTGACAGCACATGGGATATGTCTACCATGGAAGCTTGTTAAAGCCCAGAGTTTTTATTGGGGACTGGTCACATAGGCATCCTCTGGCTAGCACATACCAAAATTCCAGACTTCAGGAAGAAAGCAAGAGTTTTATTATAAACCACATTATTGTATAGGTGCAGTGAGCTACTCTTTCATTTAGGGAATGGTTAAAAACGCTCCCAAAATCAAACTTTCTAGTTGCTGGTAAAGCCACCCTTGCAAGCAAGGCTTTCTAAGGATAACAGGCCTGCTGTGTTAACTCTTTTCTGCAAATTGGGATATACTGTTAAGAGAAAAGAGCAAAACATAAACTAGTATCTATATTATCCTCTCATGAAAGAAAGAAGGGGAAATAAGCAAGTATACAAGCATCTGCTCATTTGTATAAAACACGTGTGCACACAGGAAGAATGAACCAGAAACATGGGTTTGGTTGCGTACAGGGACTAGGTGGGAGCAGGGTGGAAGAGGGGACAGGAGGAAGTAACACTTCTGAGCACACCTTTTTGTATAGTTCTGACTACATACTTGAAAAGTAAATGGACAACCAGGATGTGGTGGAAACTCAAAATTGAATACAAACTGTAACAAATCACTCTTAACAAATAAATAATGAAACCACACTGTGGGAGGGGAAATGGAGAACAGTAACCCAAGTAACAAACATTTTGACTACATATTCTAAAGCCAAAAAAGAACAAAACATTTTAGTAAATTTGTTTTTCACAGTGGTATGGTTAGCAGTTCCTGAACTACTTATGTATGTTCTGGGATTCATTGGATAGGTAAATATTGTGGTTAATGAGAGCCAGGTCTCTCACTGATAAAGTATTTATAAATTGGGGGTAGGGGACTAGAATGAACCCTGTGGTTTGGAATTGGACTTAGCAGTATGAACTTAGAATTTTTAATGTATACAGATAAATACAGAAATGTATATGTGCTGTGTGAGATAGGATCTAGAAGCAGTGACACCTCATAACAATGAGCACACCTAGCACCCAGGTCTTGGTTTCTAAATAACATCTTCCAGTTAAAGGGACCAAGACTCTTTGGGAAAATGCCGTTCCAGGGCTGGCACAGGAAATAATACAAGATAAGCCTAGAACAATTCGTGGTGAATGGCTCAGAAAATTATGGGGACATATCAAAAGAACATGGGAGTCAATTTGAAGGAACTCCCAGTGGCCAAGGCTGAGATGATTTGAGCTTAATTGGTAATGAATTATAATCCATAGAGTAAAACAAAATCTTGAGCCCATGCTGATATAAAATACTCGAATAAATAACTTGAAAAAAGAAAGCCCTTTAAAGAATTTCAGTTAATAAATATAGAAGGAATATTGGAAATAAAAAATCACCATTTGGTAACCATCACAGTAGTCATCTCTAGCAAAAATTGTCAATAGATGTTAAAACTAGTGGCTAAAAGTTGGAATGAGAAACATATTTATATAGTTCCAAAGTATCACCTCAGGAGGTATTTAATAATTACAAAGGTTTCACAATGGAGAAACCTGGCAGACGCCTCCCGAAACAGAGATGGAAACTCACCTCCCCAGGAATGAGGCACCCCAGTGCCATGAGCCTTCTGAGAATATGCATTGAGAAGAGCTAGGATCATTTCTGTGGGATTCCTGTCCCCAAATGCATAACCAGAGTCAAATGAGCAAATATCAGACAAAGCCTCATCAAGAGTTTCTTTCCCAAAGTGTCAGTCATGAAAGATAAATACCTAAGAAACTATCTCAGTTTAAAGGAGACGTGGCGACTAAATGCATTATGGGACCCTGGATTGGATTCATGTCCCCAAAAAAGACGTTATGAATCCATTAAGATTCGAATAAGGTCTATAGATATATTAGTATTAATT